AAAAATCATTCAACTAATTAGAATCACATTTTTCTTTTTGTGAGGGTTTATATTTATCTAACTTTAATCATATTAAAAAATTAAAAATAAAATTTAAATAGTAAATAAAAAGATTAAATAACATTAAAAATTAGTTAATCACATTTTTTTTAACTATTAAACCAACTACAATCACATTAAAAAAAAGAATCATTCAACTAATTATAATCACATTTTTCTCTTTGTGAGAGTTTATATTTATCCAACTTTAATCATATTCAAAAATTAAAAATAAAATGAAAATAGTAAATAAAAAGATTAAATAACATAATAAACTAGTTAATCACATTTTTTTAACTATTAAACTAACTACAATCACATTAAAAAAAAAGAATCATTCAACCAACTTTAATCATATTAAAAAATTAAAAATAAAATTAAAATAGTAAATAAAAAAATTAAATAACATTAAAAATTAGTTAATCACATTTTTTTAACTATTAAACTAAGTACAATCACATTAAAAAAAAGAATCATTCAACTAATTATAATCACATTTTTTCTTTTTCTGAGGGTTTATATTAAAAAAATCAAAAAAACCATTGAACTAATTTTTGATTAACTACAATATTAAAACAGTAAACAAAAGAAAAAGTTAAGAAGGAGAAATTATAATCACATTTTTCTTTTTGTGAGGGTTTATAAAAAGATTAAATTAACATTAAAAGTTAAGAAGAAAACAAAAATAACACTTACTGTTTGCATACGTAGTCACTGAAGTTGAAAGTGTAGAAGTGAGAACTAAAGAAGGGGAAAGCAAAAAGGAAAATCACTGTTGATATTAAAACAGTAAATAAAAGAAAAAGTTAAGAAGGAGAAAACAAAAATAACACTTACTGTTTGTATGCGTAGTCACTGAAGTTGAAAGTATGGAAGTAAGAACTCAAGAAGGAGAAAGCAAAAAAGAAAATCACTGTTTACAATAGGTATGTGAAAAGTTAAGAAAAATATGTGTATTGGAGAAGTTATAGAGATTTGAAAGAATTTAATAAGTATTTATTTATTTTTTTTTCAAAAACCAAAACAAAAAAATTAAGAGGGAAAAAAATTAAGAGCCATTTACACAATAATTACATGGGTCTCTTGGGGATGCCAAAAGTAATGGCGTGTAAATACCTGGGGTTTGACCGAGGAGGTAGCCCCAAAGGCAAATGCCTTTTTTATTATCACACATATACACACCACATAGCCATATAGTCCCTCTGTCTCAGTTATTGTTTTATTCTAGTCAGTCATGCTTTTCCAATAGTGTAATTGTAATTTTTGAACCAATCACCAAGTCAATTTTTTTTTTAAAAAAATAAAAAATCAGGAAATTAGGATTTCATTTATTGCGTTATTCTCTTCCCCACCCTCTATCTCCTCCATTTGTCAATAGTGTAATTATTATAATCTTTGAACCAATCACCAAGTCAATTTTTTTTTTAAAAAAAATAAAAAAATCAGGAAATTAGGATTGACATATTGGAGCTTCCACAGGCCTTGGGGGTTAAAACCCTATTTTGCTTAATATATAGTATAAATTATTTATATGAGGGGATTTTAAATGTTAATCAGATATTTTGACCAAATCAATAAATGCAAGCATGCGGATTGAAAAAAAGTTAATAAATGCTGATCAGGGGATTTTGACCAAATCAATAAATGCTGAGTTTTTTTTCTTTTAAATCAAAAATTTTAAAAATTAAGATTGAGATATTGGAATATTAAAACAGTAAACAAAAGAAAAAGTTAAGAAGGAGAAATTATAATCACATTTTTCTTTTTGTGAGGGTTTATAAAAAGACTAAATAACTAAAAGTTAAGGAGAAAACAAAAATAACACTTACTGTTTGCATACGTAGTCACTGAAGTTGAAAGTGTAGAAGTGAGAACTAAAGAAGGGGAAAGCAAAAAGGAAAATCACTGTTAATATTAAAACAGTAAACAAAAGAAAAAGTTAAGAAGGAAAAAACAAAAATAACACTTACTATTTGTATACGTAGTCACTGAAATTGAAAGTATGGAAGTGAGAACTCAAGAAGGAGAAAGCAAAAAGGAAAATCACTGTTAATATTAAAACAGTAAACAAAAGAAAAAGTTAAGAAGGAAAAAACAAAAATAACACTTACTATTTGTATACGTAGTCACTGAAATTGAAAGTATGGAAGTGAGAACTCAAGAAGGAGAAAGCAAAAAGGAAAATCACTGTTAATATTAAAACAGTAAACAAAAGAA